CAAAATATTACAATAGAAACCTGAATTTTTGAGATTATTGCATATTATTATAAGTACTCATTCTTACCGACGCTTGAAATATTTTGAATATTTTGCTCTTCAATCTCTGGAAGAGAAAAACTAAAGCACAAACAGATTACTTGTATGGGACATTTTTGCATCATCCCCACTCAGCTTCACTTTGATCTTCTTCTTTGTCCCACCAGTTTCAAGCTGTATACAAACATAGGAAATATAAATGTTTGTTTTATAATCACAATATTTCAGCGTGTGTTCATTAACCAAGTTAGCATGTATGCAGTTGTAGACAGTTTTGCTTACATATCTAGCAATTTCTTTCTCAAGTAGAAACTTGAATGAAAGCTCAACGCCAGGGGTCCTTGTGATAGTTAAAGTGTTCATTGACTTCTTTAGCACATTCCTCGATCAAATAGGTTCTTGGAACCTGTGTCAAAGCTGACTTATTTCATGATAGCCCTTCAGGGAGATCGAAAATCTATCCATAATGTACAGCAAGGTCTCTACTCTTTGTCAAGCATTGGCATTTGAGGAGGTTTATATATAAGTCAAAAACATTCCAAAAAAAACATTCCAAAAAAAATGTCCAAAAAAATCATTATGATTTATGTCCTCACAGATAATAATAATAAGAGATTTTAATCTCTTAATTTTAAAAAATCTTGTCCCTACTAGGCACTTTTGAAATCAATTTACAATAGTTTAATTATTTCGAGGCGGAATTTCTATCTTCTATCTTTTTCTCCATATCGCTGTTTTCAATAACTTTTTTCCATAGTTCGTCGTGCACGTCTTTTAGAAACGAAGCAATTTCATCTTGTTTAACTCCAACAGTGATCCATAAGCTGCTTCGATATTCCCTCACTTGGTTCCTTAATGGTTTATCTTTTGCAATCAATCGATTAAGGCAACACTTCAGTATCGTTCCGATATGATTAGAAGAATGTGAAGCCAATCTGTATCCCATTGCTCTTTCTAAATTCTCTTTGGGGGGTTCAAAAAGAAGTTTTGTATCGAGGGTTCAATGAATGTAGACACGAGTAATTGTACCTTGTTTTGTTTTCTATTGTTTGTAAGTAAGAATGTTAATGTAAATTCCATCGTGTAAGTTAGTTAGTATATAAGTAGTTCGTTTCGTAATATCCATTGTCACAGTCGAAGTCGTAGTCGCCACAAATCTTGTAAGTAGTCGTTATATTTCTTCCGTTTTCCGTCTTGTAAATTTATGTAGTTATATTAATACTGATTGTAATTGTTTGTTAAAGTAAATGAGGCGTTATGGACTCTATTTCGAGTAACCCTTTGACGGCTCCATCATGGCACAGCTTTTGATGGTACGTTTGGCATCTCCAGAGGTGTACTGCAGCAGATACATCACTCGCTCACTATCTGTTAGGGTGTTCTTTTCGATATAGTTCTCGAAACATTTCATAAAGCTATAGTACTCCAGTGGGTCACCATCAAAGGTAGTTAAGTCAGGTCTAGGGAGATGGATCATATGAGCTAAATTCATCATCATGTTGTTAGTCTCCGTCACTTTGGTGTCTGGAAGTACACATTTCTTGCCACAGGGATTAGTTTGGGTTTCAACATTGTCATTACAAACATATTCAAATTGATCAATATTTCGATTGTCATTAACAGTATGAGTTAAATCATCAAGTACATCATCATTACATGATTGTTCAGATTGTTCATCTAATCTGTATTCTTCTTTGACCGCATCATTGAGTTGCAATCCGTTTGCTTGAGCTGCGTTTGATTGTTCTTCATAATCATTTAATTCTAACTCACCATTTTGGTCGTCATACGGTTCATTATAAATATTTACTTCTAGTTGAGCTCTGTCAAGTTTGTACTGTGCTTCTAGAAGCTTCCTTTGCATTCTCATATCTTCTTCCTGACGTAATAACCTTTGGCGATTTTTGAGTTGTTCCACTTCCAATTTAGCCAAGGCTTCGTTGGCATTTACTCTCCTTAAAGCCACTGAAGACGTGACACTACCCACGTTGCTCGCCGAGTCTTTAGGCYGAACAGCATTATCCCTCAACCAGGTCTTTGCTCGTAGAATGACTGACGATTTCCGTTGTAATTGATCGTTGTAGTATCTGTTAGCATCTTCTATCTCTTGCGCGTCCGTCAGAGCGTTGAAATATTCATAATGACTTCTACTGAATCGTAGAAATGCTTCGTCAATGTCTCCGATGTTTTTCTCAACTGCTTCTACATCTCCGGCATTCATAAAGGCCTCCACGGTGCGATACAAGGCTGTTAAACGTCCAACAAWTCMAYTTCTGGAACGCCTTTGTTGTGTAGACATTTCAAATCTTTAAATAATGTGGCCACAGTCCCTCCACTAACAGGACAGCACGTCATCTCCTAAACGAAAGATTCGGTCACCCATTCACCATCATTCACCATCATTCACCATCATTCGGTCACCCATTCACGAACGCAAAATGCGTTCGCCGAACTTATGTAATAACTGCTTCAAGCCGGGACATATAGCCCTAGGATGTCTTGAAGGCATGTCGTGTGAAGTAGAAGGATGTAAAAATAAAAGACGTCATCACACCTTGTTGCATCCTCCAGACAGAGACAGTGCACCCGGTCAACCAAAGGCGTTAGAGACCAAGAATACCTCTTCCACAGGCCAAGTAAACAGCATGAAGATGTTGGACCCGATCGACGAGAAGATATGTTTAAGAATCGTACCCGTCAAAGTCCAAGGTCCTCACAAGTCTGTGGCTACATACGCATTGCTCGACAATGGATCTAACGTTTCACTCTGCAATGAAAAACTTGCATCAGAAATCGGAGTTCGAGGTGAATAGAAGTTGTTTTACCTGACGACGTAAGAAAAACATGGTGACGATCAACACACTATGGACTGTGGACAGTGTTAATGTCTCAACCCACAGTATCCCTACAAACACAGAGGTTCAACGATGGCCCCACCTACATGATGTGAGCTTATCGGACTTTCAGAACAAAGACGTGAAGATGATCATTTGTAGTAACGTTCCTGAAGCATTCTGGGTGCTCGAAGAGAGAAGAGGAAAAGTTGGAGAGCCTTACGCTATTCGCTCACTCTTAGGCTGGACTATAGTAGGACCAACCAAGTCATCAACAAAGGACGAGGCTCTTACGTCAAGCTTCGTTAAACTTCAAGATGATGAAAGGAGAGAATCAAAGGATGATCAGCTGAACCAGGCTCAAAGATTCTGGGAAATGGGCCATGTGGTTAGCACTTCTGATAGATGTCTCGCCAAGACAAACACGCAATCAAGACAATGGAAAGTTCCGTCAAGTTAAAGGATGGACATTACGAGGTCGCACTGCCGTGGAGACAGGAAATTCCATACTTRCCTGATAATCGAAGTCTASCTGAGCAACGACTGAAGCTGCTAAAGAAAAGATTTCTGGCGGACAACGAACTGTTCTTGAAGTACAAAGGGACGATGAATGACTACATTGATAAAGGGCACGCCAGAAGASTTCCAGAGAACGWAGTTGAAGTAAAGGGAAAACCATTATGGTATCTTSCACATCATCCGGTTTTCAACYCGAACAAGCCAAACAAGACTAGAGTGGTATTTGATTGCTCGGCGARGTACCGAAACACTTCATTRAACGACCAACTCCTMAGCGSTCCAGATCTCACAAATAGCATTGTTGGTGTACTTACAAGATTCCGTCAAGAGAAAACCGCAATTGCAGCAGATGTCGAATGCATGTTCCACCAAGTCAAAGTAAATCCTGCTGATTATGACGCATTCCGGTTTCTATGGTGGCCTGATGATGACCTCAGCAAAGATCCTGTCGACTACCGCATGGAAGTACATCTATTTGGCGCAACGTCGTCACCAAGCTGCTCTGGTTATGCGCTGCAAAGAACTGCTTATGACCATAGTCATTTATTCTCTGATGAAGCTGTAAGTACCGTTAAGAACAATTGCTACGTAAATGATTGTTTGAAGTCGGTCAAGACAAGCGAGGAAGCTATAAGTTTAGTAAAAGAACTTACAGACATGCTATCGATGGGAGGCTTTAGACTGACCAAGTGGCTAAGTAATGACCCAGACGTGATAGGATCCATCCCWGAAGGTGAAAGATCGGCGAAGGTACTCGATCTCGACCTGGACAAGGAAAGACTTCCGGTTGAGAAGACATTGGGTCTAAAATTAGACATGCACGCAGACAAGTTCATCTTTGATGTAATGCCTAAGGAGAAGCCAGCTACGCGGAGAGGAATCCTGTCTGTCACAAGCTCAGTATACGACCCTCTAGGATTTYTAGCACCAGTGATTCTTCCTGCTAAGAGGATAATTCAAGACTTATGCAGAAAGCAACTCTGAGAGTCATTGACAACACTGGAAGTACTCACGTATCATTCCTTATGGGCAAGTCACGCCTCGCTCATTTAAGGCCCCCAACAGTACCACATCTTGAATTGTCTGCAGCTGCGTTGGCCACCGAGATGGACAAGGCTCTTCGAAGGGAACTTGAAATACCCATAAATGAATCCTTCTTCTGGATTGATTCAACATCAGTACTTCAGTACATCAGAAACACAACAACAAGATTCCATACGTTTGTTGCCAACCGTCTTACAGTTATCCACGACCAMACCGAATCGTATCAATGGAGATATGTCCCAACCAACTTAAACCCAGCGGATGACGCAAGTAGAGGTATTGCAGTGAAGGATCTATGCCACAGCAACTGGTTGCATGGCCCAGACTTTTTAGCAGAATACAAGGCTCTCTGGCCTGCAGAGCCTCATGCGCTGACATCCAACTGCTTAGACAAAGATCCTGAAGTGAAAGCTCATCCAGCTCAATGCATGAGCTCGAGTATTCAAGTTACAGACGATGACGCCATCGTAAAGCTGATAGAAAGGTATTCGTCATGGAATAGGCTAAAGCGAGCCGTTGCGTGGTTGCTGAAGTTTAAGTTATGGCTTCAAACCAAGAAAACTTGCCAGTTGAAAGTAAACGATCTTAACCAAGCTGAAACTACAATAATAAAGCACATCCAAAGGCAAGCGTATCCGGAAGTCATTAAAGTGTTCAACGGTTCTGATCACCGTCAAGTCAAGGCGAAGCTGAAAGGATTACCGTCATCACTTCATGGATTGAGTCCCATAATCGATGAAGAAGGAGTGTTGAGAGTGGGAGGAAGACTTGAAACTCATCTGTCACGTATCAATCCAAACATCAGATTATTCTGCCAAGATGTCATCACAAATATCACAAAGTGGTACCTGGCAACGATCAAATTTTCGATTTCGCTCAATTTGTGCCACAAGATATATAATTGATCAAGTAAAAGCAGTATGAGTCTTTTTTTGAAATAACATTTTGTTAGAGATATCTTTGGGCAAATAAATAGTTGATTTATAAGAGCTATTGAAAGGTTGCTCAAAATCGTGTTTACATGACCTTGACCTGGACTGCTTAGACGGCGACTCGAACATCAGTTTCTTGACTATTTGCATATTAGTGCCTGAGACGGCTGCATGATTCTTAGCTCCGTTTATTTTTCATTTTATATCGTTATTTTACTTTCTTTTGAACTCTTTTCTCGACGTAGTAACTCTATTAGATCGTATTTATGTTTTTTCAAGTTAATCTGCTATGTTTTTTGCAAGATCTTCGATATTTATTTGATTTCTCCTTGAACCGCTTCAGATCATGGCGATGCACTCAAGTGATTACTGGTTTCCTTCTGGCATTCGTTCTTTTAACTACTATCCTCATCCTCTTCTGGCTTCAAATGGTTTTCCCTTTTTATCTCCTGCCTTTGCATCCTTCCATAGACAAAACTGCAAAAATATGCCACTTAAATGCCAGGTCAGCGTGTAATAAACCTACAGTTATAAATGATTTTACAGTTGAAAACAGTATTGACATCTTATGTTTAACTGAAACCTGGTTAAAAAGTAATTCACAAGAAGTTATAAATGAGTTGACACCTAAAGGATATATTTTCCACCATATCTCTAGAAAAACAAGAGGTGGTGGCGTTGGAATTCTTTTTAAACTAGACCCTGGTAGCAGGGTAAACTCGTGCCCTGTTGAGTTAATTGTGCATGATTGTAAATTTGCTGGAAACTAATTAGCTTTATGCAGAAGTGAAATTTCTCACATTTACATCCAATTGCAAAATTGTACTGAGCTCAGTTTGTAGAGGTTCCTTCAGTAAAGAAGAGAAGGCTTTAGCATATTTGCCTCGGGAGGAGTCCTTTATATTGAAGAGCGGGATGATCATTGTTTTTCTTTAGGAATTGAAATTACTGTAAGGACACGGTATCTTACAGTGCAAGAGAAAATCAGACAAGTTTTCATCCCACATGAAGATGAAGTTCATTTCCAGGGCTTTTGTGCTTGGGACGATGTTGGATACTGTTGACCAGTTTCACCATCAACATGCAGGTTGGTTGCATTTGAAAATCAGTGGCAACAAAATTGGAGATCAAGGATTTGCCTTCATCTGTAACCAGCTTCCAAGACTTCAGACACTAGAAGAAATCTACAAATTGGTGACTGACCAAGGCTTTAAAGAAGGTGCAAAAGGACTTTGTAGATTGACAACTCTAGAAGCAATCTGCAAATTGGTGACTGACCAAGGCTTTAAAGAAGGTGCAAAAGGACTTTGTAGATTGACAACTCTAGAAGTAATCTGCAAATTGGTGACTGATCTTACAATTCCTCGGTCAATTTCTATAGATGAAAATTTTTAAATGCCATTTTTATCAAGGTTGCGTTATTATCGCTGTGGTGTTGATTATCGTTATTCGCTCCTATTAGAGTTAGAGGTAGCGACGATATTTAACAAGCTGCATGGTCTGTTTTTGACTTTAAAATCCTCCTATTCTTTGCATGCAAACAAAATGGCGCGGTCTGGTCTGTGGTGCTGTTCAACGATGGCATTGCAATGAATGCTGGTTACCGGAAATTACGTCATTAGACACCGAGACATGAAGCGAAACCTGACTGCAAATAGAAATGGACAGAATTTATAAAAGAAGAAGAGAACGTCAATGTAATTTTATTTGAAAGTATGGCGTAGAATACCTTATCTAGCTTGTTTATTCACGCACCGCGATATTCTTTTCTGGTGGCTTGGCGCAACGACATCAAAACACTAGGAATATCGATTCAGGAGTGATATTCTGTCTTTCTCAATTTTCAAAAATAGCTATCCCAACTTCACGCTGTAAAAGCGTATAGCTCATTAAAAATATGCAAATTTAGTGTGTTTTGAATATTTTGACAAGAGTTGAAGTCTGATAGAGTGAAAAAACGGTCATTGATAGTAATGGTAACTGTAAACTATGAAAACGAAGGTGGACCATTATCAACAAGCACCAAAAAGCAAAAAGTTGTTTTTTTTAATCATACCTTTATAAGGAACTTATATAACATACATAGATATCAAATACATAGAATTGAAGACCAAAAGTAAGTAAGAGTGAAGTTTTGAAAGAATTATACTGAAAAGAACCTATAGATAAACGAAGACTATATTTTATTGTTCATATATGAAATGTTGACAGTATTCGAGCTTTAAGCGAAAATAACAAAACTCATATCAATTAACATAAACTCTTTTTTATAATTATTGGGAAAATTCCTCAAAACATTTCAATACCATCCAAATCGTTATCTCTGCACATAGGAGCTTATATTTGACAAAAATGTTATCTGTTGTCAGTCGGCAAGTCTCATGCGATTTTTGATAGAAGACCTCTGTATATTGGTAAATATTTTGCGATTCATCAAATATTGAGCGTCTAAAACTATGTCAATATCAAGAAGATATGCAGATTTTATATGTATGGGAATTTGCAAGACAACAATGCCATTTTTACCGTACTTTTTAACTGCGAAGATTGTCTTCTATCCAGCGCTTTTCGTCCGCCATTTTGTTTTTCAAACTTCGCGCATGCGCAGCGGTTGTTTAGCTGTGTTCTGCTCATGCGCATTTCTTCTGTTAGAAAAGGAGTGGCTTCCAAGTTTTCATACAGAAAACGTAGAGGAGTCTCTCAAAAAGTACATAAACGTACAAAAAACCCTCTGCTCTTTGGATAAATTGAAGTAAAAGGAAAGGCAAGGAATCATGTTTTTAGCATGGCCGGTTAATGATATGGAATTCTCATTGCTGGAGTGATTGTCGTCATGTAACGCTATGTGGACTTTGATCTCGCGTTGATTGGGACCCGTTTATTGGGGTAAGTTTCTTAGTTGTTAAGCAAGATTTGAAAGTGTTCATGAACAAAAAGTTCTTCAATAGCGATTGCTTGGAGAATTGGAATGTTATTTTCATAAATTCCTTTGATATTGAATAAAATTCATGCGGTTTTCACGGCAGCATTCCTTTTGGTGAACTTAGTATACTTTTCTGGCTGTTTCTTCCGTTTCTTCCCGGAGTAGTCAATGGATGAGAATCGCTTGAGATGAAAATCGATAAAATATCAGTTTATCCGATGTATCTGGAATTGTGAACACTCCATTTATTTGTTTCGTAGGAGTTCCACTTTTAGTAATGTTAGTGAAGATTATATCAATAGAGGTTTTTCGTGTTACGTCACGTTTCCTTGACAACGCATTGGCGGCGATCTTGAAGGTCAACCAACAAGTTGTAACAGTCAGTTGTTAGTTTCAATCAGTTTATTTCACATATATATAAATACAATTTCAAAGTTATTGTAAATTTTCATTAAATATCTATATGTGTGGAGAGCTTATGAAACCCTTACGGGCTTATGTAAAATGCTCACCATAAAAAGAAAAAAATCAATTTATTTATTACATTTGTGATACTTTATTCTTGGTATCAGGTTTTTTTTATATATATTATATATATTACATGTCTAGATTTTTAATTATCATAGTTGTGAAAAAAGAAGTCTTTCATTCTTTTTTTAGCAAAGAAATTGATTTTGATGTCTTAATTTTTGCAGGAAGAGAATTCCATAAATCAATGCTCTTATTCCTAATTGAGTATTTGCCATAATTGGTTCTATTGAATTGTTTGTGAAGATTTTTATGATTTCTAGTAAAGTGATGATGAATTCTATCATTTTCAATATTAAAATTGTCAAAGTAAGGAGGAAGAGATCCATTTTTTAGCTCATAATTGAAAACAGATATAAGGAGATCATTGATTTGGTAGATATTAAGTATTTTAAGCTTAGTGAAAAGAGGTAGAGATGGAGAAGTGTAAACAGAGAAGGTCATTATTCGTAGCACCTTTTTTTGTAGTTTTATTATTCTGTCAAGTCTAGTTGGGTAGTTATTGGCCCATACTATGTTTCCATAGGTCAAGTAAGGATATACAAGTGTATAGTAGATTAACTGTAGGACTCGTTGATTAACGTAGTG